CAACTGGAAAGTAACAATTATTACTGAAAAGTCAATGATACATGAAATAATTATGCATATCTTTTAAAGGATGCACTAAATTCATATTTTTTATTATATATTAAGCAGTATATACAAAGAAAGAGCATGCACTGGAAGAATAAAAATATACTATAATTGAGTGCTATCAGTGATATTTCATATTACAATGAAATTATATCTTTATAGTTTAAAGCAATTCAATTAACAGATTATTTAATAGTTCACTAAAACAAGATTGTTTAAACTAAGTATGTACTTGTAAAGATGATGCTTAACAACTTAAATAATACACGTATTCTTTCAGAATTGGTTGATGAACCAACCATTTGATACGTGCTTCAACTAATAAGCATTTAAACTTAAACAAAGTTTGAGTGTTAATAACAAACTTTCATTAAATACATTTTACTCATTGAGCATTTTAGCTTCCAAATTCTTCAATTTTCTAAAATCTAAGAAGCTCGCAATTTTCCATTTTAATAAGATCTGTATAAATGCATTTAATATTCAAAATCTGACTTGTTGTCGGTCCTAATTAAAGTAAACAAAGCCTTGCAATGAATGAATTTAATTACTTCGAAACTAGTATGTCTAACTAAGATGAAAAGCAAACGAGTGCAATCTAATCTCAGCAAAGAATATTTATGATTATAAGCTTTGTCAATAGCAAAGTGCACCAACTGTTCATATATCTGACTTCCAAGAGATACATGAATGCTAATCAGTTCATTAGAGGCTTCTAGGTTGTGATATTTAGCGACAGGATGTAGTAGCTTTCTTGTCCATGGAGTATAATTGTACTCAGAATGAAAAATTGTTTCCAACAAAGCATCATCCTTCCTGTTTCTGATTTCCTGCTGGTTGTTTTTTACGAGATGCATTCCTTTGAAGAAGCCGACATTATTCAGCTTTTTGTGTCATATAAATACAAGTGTGGATATGTCCTGAGATTCTCTGCTGAGCAGCATTCTACAACCTTTACTCCAAGCTCAGGAATTCATCTTAGCTCCATAAACCTGAGCTTCATAATTAGTGCACTCACAGTGTATTACCAGAAGCTACATGCAAGCAAAATCTTTTCTTAACTGCTTTCTATCTATAGGGAACAATAACAAGTACTTCAATTAACAATACTTAATGATTAAAATAATAAATTGTCACATGTGAACATTTCTAACATGATAAAATGAGGGGAAAAAAGCTAATGATGAAATTGATGTAATCTGTAATAATACATTTAAAGCATACTTTATCAAATAAGAAAGAAACACACAAATATATTTTTGATGAATAAATACAGACTTCATCTTATGTTTTTTGTTTTTTTTTTCAAAAAAAGCCTTACCCAGTACAGTGATAAAGGCACCCTCCCTAATGAAAGAAGAAACTGAAAGGATAGAGAAGATACAAAAGGAAACAAACACATTAGCCTGAAGTGATTGTTGCTCCAGTGCAATTTTATGATATTTCCCGACAGAGACAGAGAAGAAAGCTAAAATTGAACTAATTCACAATTAAGCTGAAAGCATATACAATAAAATCTATGACAAGGCAAATACCAATTTTGTGACTCACTAAATCACAGGAGAGAAGAGGTAGAAAGAGAAAAAGTAGTTATTTTATGTCAAGAACCTCAGTTTAAAATATTAGGAGTGTCTATTTGTAAGAGCTCATATAGAATTCAGAAGTCCATATGGGATTTTAATAATACATTGTAGTAATATTTTATTACAACACAAAGGATATCAGTCCCTAATTTCACAGAATGGCTTGCAAAGTACCTCAACATTAGTTTCAGGAAATAAAAAAGTTTATTACTTCAGTTACTCATTAGAGACTAAGCTCCAAAGTTAGTGATAAAGATAATTGAATACAAAGGAAACACTAAACAGGACACAAGCCTCATGCTATTAATTTTATACGTATACATATCTGTTAATTTTATTTGGGATGAGGAGAATACCTACACAAGTAGTGATTGTCATAAACTCCATTTTGATTTTGGAACAAAGTGGTATTTCTAAGGGAAATATTAAATTTTATGGAGTACAAGATAATTTCTAATATACACCGACTTTTGAAATTAAGCTGACTAGACATACCAGTTTAGAAGGTCTGTGTCTGCTCCCTTAAACATTTCAAAGGTATCTAAAGCATATCATGACTTCATACTCACACTGCCTCAAACAGAGCTTTAATATCCTTTCCATTTATCATGAACATCAGAAGAACATAAGGCATATGGAAGATGAGAGAACGTAACTATTATTCAAGTTGATAAAAAGGAAAAAAGAAATCAATAGAAACACATTTGTGTATTATTCATGAAAGATAAATACTGAAAAATTTCCCTGCAAGATGGCAAAAGTTAAACCTTCTACAATTTGGCACTACAGAATGAACTCTGGTTATGCAAATACACCTAAAACGTTAAATAAATTGTAATTCTAGTTGACTGGTGACTTAACTTATTGAGATATCAAAAGGATATGGACATCTTTGTCACAAACTTGTCATGCAAGTCCTCAGGAGGGGGAAAGGTTTCCAAATCCTTCTCAAGCTGGTGAAGCTGCCTTCCCATCTGCTTCAAATTCTTTTCCAGCGTTTCTACAGAGACTAAAAGAGAGTGTATTAAATGCCTTGAAAGGACAAAATTATAATATATAAAAGGTAAGACACTCTAGAAACAAAACATTTGTGAAAAACCCCATAATAATAATGCAAAAAAGTCTAAAATTTTAATTTTAATGTGAGAAATTATAAAAAAGATGAATTTCATTGTTTTTCTTAACTTTTCAATTTTTAAATCCAGTTATAAAGGAAATTCAATAAGAGACTCTTTCAAACATAAACATGAAATTTAAGAAATGCAAACACACACAAACCACATTTAAGAAATAAGTTTTTTAAAAATTATAGTTCTTGACCACTACGTTACAAAATAACCAGTCTATTAAGTCAGAGGCAAAGATAAAGTATGTTTTTAAAATTAAACCTATTCAAACATAATTTTAATATTTTTCAAAATCATTTTTTTTAAAAGAGACAGGGTCTCACTCTGTCACCCACGCTGGAGTGCAGCGGGGCTGGATCACTGCAACCCTGAACTCTTGGGCTCAAGTGATCTTCCAGCCTCAGCCTCAGTCCTGAGTAGCTGGGACTACAGGCTCATCCCCCCACGCCCAGCAGATTTTTTTTTTTTTGGAGAGACAGGGTCTCACTCTGTTGCTCCAGCTTCAACTCCTGGCCTCAAAAAAACTTCCCACCTCTGCCTCCCAAAAGTGTTGGCAAAATCACCTTTTGAGAGGAAACAATAAGTAGATGGGAAAGATGAGGGCAGGTGCTCTCTATTGTCCAAGCCAATCTATAACATGGGGGTAAAAGGTATCAGAGGCTAATTACAACGACAAATGTCAAGCTTTCTTTACTGATACTCTGAGCATAATCTATATTTACTATATAATAATTAATATTCTTCTTTGACTCTAAGTTGCTTTCAGTGCACATGAGGAACAAGTGGTAAACCAGGGCACTGCGGAACTATCACAATGTACTGCACGCCCAGCAGGATACATGTGACGAACTATTTCTAAAAATCTTTGGATAGTCAATTTTACATGACACTAGAAGAAAAGCTTAACAATACAAAAAGAAGATACAGTGGCCTAAACCATCTTCTTGGATATTTGCTTTAGGTACAGGTATATTTTGGTTTAAAAAAAAAAAATCTGTTACTTCTGATCAATGTGAACTATATCAAATGATGTATAAAAATGAATATAGTAATTCTAGGTAATCTGCCATTGTCAGGATTTAAATTAATCCTGAAAAACAGATTCAAATTTCATCTATAAGGATGGGAATATCCTTGGAAGCAATCTAAATGCCTAAAAAAATGGGATTGAGTTAATAAACAAATTACAGTTTTTCACCTTGGTTCAAAAGAATGAAATAGTAAGGGGACATGAAAAATAACATTGTATAAGAACACGGAATATATTTTTTTTACCTAGATGTACATAAAGTAATGTTTGCCATTCTGACATTAATGGCTTTTAATAAAACCTGAACATATTACTAAAAAATTAGCAACCTAATTCTCAGCACAATGTTTAATGGGTCCAATGACAGAACTCTTCCAAGAACCACATAATAGCTGTTTGTGCCTGAAGAGTGATGATACTTTAACCTTTGACTCCCACTGTGGTGAAGCCATTCTGATGTTATACTCATGCATATTTTCTCAGAAGTTTTTACTTCTCATGTATTCCTTTTCTGTGATTCTTAAAATTGAGACAATAACTCAGATAATAGTGTTTATGAAATGTTTGCATCATGGTAGCACTTAGTATATTAATTCATTTTACTTGTGTCCCCAATATCTTGCTATACCCTGCTCATAGTGGTAACACATATATCCTATGTTATACTCTTTCATTTTTATATCTGCTTGTCAATTATCTACAACCAAGACTCCTGTTTGATTAGGCCTACGGTGTTTCATTTACTCTTCTCATTTCCACTTTTTTTTTTTTTTTTGCTTCTTTTAAAGTTCTCTATCTGCATTAAAGAAGAGATTCCTCTTGCTCTCCTAGTCTATTTGATCTCATCTCTAATGTCTCATTAGTATTTGCTCTATCATTTTTCTAGAAATCTTACAGGTGGTTTAGTCACTTTTACACTTCCTAAAACTTTGAAACTTCTGATTAAATAAAGGTTCTAAAACACATAAAATCCTTTTATTAAGTAAATACATGCTCATTGACGTTCATAATCCATACAACCAATTTGTGTTATAGGTTCAAAAAAGAAATTAGTGTGTCAGTAGTATGACAGTAGTAATTGTAATAGTAGTAATCGTAGTAGTAGTAGTGATAACAAAAATAATAGTAAAGATAGCCCCTAAAATTTGCTGAATGTTAAACTATGTCAAGTACTGTCTTAAGTGTTTTCCATTAATTAACTCATTTAATCCTCACAAGAACATCATGAAATAGGTATTATTATTATCCTTGGTTTACAGTTGAGGAGACTGGATCTGAGTGGGTAAATAAAAAGGTCAAACGACTAAAAAGTAGTGAAGTCAGAATTTGAACTCCGGCAGTTTCATTCCAGACCTTATTTTTAACCATTTTGCTATACATAAATTATTAATTATAGAAATTATCATTTTATTTTTATAGTCCCTGCCTCCCTGTAACTTTTAAATAAACAGATATAGTTTTCACATAATAACTGGTTTCTTGTACATTCTTGCCTATTGCAATCACAGTGACTTCACCCAGGGCAAACAGACGTAAGCATTCTAGATGGATGGATGAATGGACAGTCAGATATACAGATGTTACTATCTTTTTTTAAATGAACATTTAAAGTGGTATCCCACAATTGAACAAAATCACATACTTAAATATTGTCTTAGTTTGCTTAACCAATTTTATTATGCACACACATCAAATTAGTAAAAGGTCCAGGGAATGGACAAATGTAAGTCTAAGGGACTCCCATACGCCAAAACCACCAGGCCAATGTTGGGAGGGAACATAGATTGTTTGTTTTTTTCTGATACCAAATACATTGCTCCAACACCAACTGGATGTTCTACAATGCAATTCAATTTGACACTAACTACCTGGACTTAGTGCAGACTCCATAATTTAAGGACAAAGTCCTTCAACTCTGATACTAATTACTCAGAGTTAGTGTCAGACTCTATAGGTATGAGGGCTCAGTCCTTCAAGATTGCTCTAATTTCAGATGTCAGCTTCAAGTCCAGGGGGCCACCCATACTTCTGACTCACCGGCTATATTAATCAATTTTGGGATTCCCACAATCCCCTCCCTTAAGTTCCACCATTTACTAGAATGACTCGCAGAACTCAGGAAAGCGCTATACTCACGATTATCCTTTTATTATAGGGGATATAACTCAGTAACAGCTGAATGGAGATGTATAGGGCAAGCAATGAAGGAAGCAGCGCAGAGCTACAATGCCCTCTCTGGGCACACCACCCTCTCAGCACATCCGTGTGCTCACCCAGAAGCCCCCTTATCCTCATGGTTTCAGAGTCTTTACTGAAGCTTTATTACAGAGGCCCGATTGATTAAATCACTGGCCATTCATGGTGGAACTCAATCTCCAGCCTTTCTCCTTCCCCAGAGGTCAGGGGGTAGGCTGAAAGAGCTGCCTAACAGCCAGGGCTGTCCTCAGAGGAGGTCAGCCACTTGTAGACCATCCCAGTGAGTGACCACTTCTCAGTTAGGTGAAAGGGGGGCTTACTCCACTAGATTAAAGGTTTGAGCTTTTTCCAATTCTCTGGTTGCCAGTGGATCAGGAACTACTTCCTCTGTGATCTGAAACAACTTCTCTTAGGCTCAATGTCCACATCAGGAAAATGGGAAGAATCTCACCTCATATTTTTATGTCACAGATATTTCATAAGAGATCATACGCTGTAACATAGGATGAGGAATTTTTTAAAAAAGAGTAGGTTATGCTTATTCTTAGAACTGAATAAGAAATGAAATGCTTAAAGATTGAAATAAGTGACATTAGAATTAAATGAAAAGTAAAGAAAGTCCTCATCATCTTCATCATCGTTGCCATCATTACCAGGCCAGGGAGAGTATTGTGGAAGTCAGCCTAAGAAGAGTAGTTGCTATTTTCAAGAGTAAAATATTAGGAACATTTGGGGCATATTCAAACACTTACAATCAACATCGCAAAGAGTAAGCAAGCTATCTTAAAAAATGGTTCATGTGAAAAAAAAAAAATAAATGGTTCATGTGGCTACTCTACAGATGGAAATCCCACTAAGCCATTTCTCAGGCTTCATCTGCAGTCTCTGATTGCATTACTTGTACATTACAGTTAAGTGGATTTAAATGTAATTGACCAACCTCTCACTGTTGGTTTTTAAATAAGGACCAAAGCACACTTGCAAGAGAGAAAAGAATGTGCAAACTCTAGGCTAATAAAATACAAGCTAATGTTCTGAGCCATCTGATGGGTAAAAGTAAATTAAAGAACATTTTAACAATTCCCTTGGTGTTTTCTTTTTCAGCAATTATTCTATTTCTATAGACAGTTCCTTGATGTATCTTCAAACATAATTTTAGCCACACATTTCACATGTGTCAAGTTCTTTGCAGTTAGCAACAATATTTTTTGTATTAGAAATTCCAACTATATCAGGGAGTTTTAAATTGTACATTTTCAAAGAAGTGTTAATTTACTGGTGTCTCTGTATGTGACCTGTGCATAAATTTTATCTTTCAGCTTTGTCATATTTCTTGACCAAAAAATTAATCGTATTTTTTTATTCCCTTTCATTACTCAGAAGAAAAGTAACAAAACAGAGCCATCATCAAACAGAGTTGACTAGACTATTTTGAGGCAATTTTGACTTTTGTGTTTTAGTCAGTTAATATTCAACCAGGTGGGATATCTCTTAGTCACCTCAGACATCATGTGTGTCTGCCTCCAATCAGCTCCTCATCTGTAATCTCCACACCTCAGTGAGCAGGACTACAAGTTCTGCTTCCTGTGCTAGAAATCTGTTGGTCTTGACCGTTCTTTCTCTTACAATCCTTAGATCCCAACAATCATGACACCC